TTCTCATCTAAATAAAACAATTCACCTAAACACACCCTCCTCTTTCAAACCTCCTCCCCACATTCACTTGGTGACCCCTTACCTCTCTTTGTCCCAGTCCTGCCAAGCTGCCACTTATTGCAAGGTTCATTTATGGATTTCTTCTCTCTTTTTTCTGTTTTCAACGCGAATAAAAACTGATCTGTGAATTTGCGCACTTGTGCCGTCATCTTTGCCCAGGAGATCCTATCCACCAGCTGGGAGTGATTTAGAATATGAAGTCATTACGAAAGGACTCCAAGTACGTTGGTGCTGTCTTTTTGTGTCCCAGATTGGGCTCTTGTAGGTTTCACACAGTTCACTTTAGAACCGCAGACTAAAGCAGCACCGGGTTCGTATAGGTGACCACAATAGAGGCGATTATTGCCGGGCATCCCCTTAGCCGTTGGTGAAATCCTTTTAAAACGTATACATACGTGGGACTTTGGTTTTGTCTATACACCATATAGTACAGTCTATCTTCGCAAAATTGTTGTTATTGTTGGGAGGGGGTATTATATCACACTTTGTTCATCTTTTAGCACCCTTACCCCCCCATGGTTGTGACTTGTTTGGAAATATTCCAAACCTAACTGCCTGTTTCACGGTTTGTGCTATATTGTATGTGAACAAAATGAGAAAGTTCTGTCCAGGGGCCCGGGGATTATGCTTGCGTTCTACTCGGTTCGAGCACCGAGGATGAGATTCAGTCGAAATCGCTCTACAACGCTTCCTGATATTGAAGTTCGCGCTTCGTCTGCTCTGTACACGACAAAACTCACACCATAATTGTTCAAACCAATCCAGTGAATTCAGGGTGGACTGCCAGAATCGATTTAAGGATGAAAATAATTTTGTTTCTAATGTCGTACCAATGTCCAACCAGGTGATAATAAACTTTGTGCAGCACATAACAGTCGATACCGGTTTACATTCAGAGAGAGAGAGAGAGGAAGAAGGGGTAACAAATGTGCGACTTCGACAGTATACCGATTCGGAGTGAGAAACCATTAATTAAACCAACCCCGGCAATACGGAACGAGAATGATCAGGGTGCGAACGCGCGGTGATGAAGGTCAAATAAGTCCAGCGACTCCGATCAACCCGGACCGCCAGTCTCTTTCATGTCACACTCAGCCCGGTTTCCCAACCAAAGGGTCAAAGGTGAAACAACTCACTCTACGCGCCTTGATTCCCACACTTAATTACAAGCGGTTACCGAACAACGCAAAGCCCCTACCTTTCGCTACATTCAAGTTGTGCCCGGGGAGAAGGACAGCTAGCTGAACAACTGAACAGCTAGCAACACCCAAATTGTTTCGAACTTATTATGGCGATCGATTTGTTCCCGTAAAAATGAACTCAACAGTACTGCAATCGGTCGTACCCGATTTCTGTCTACTAACGCCAACAGTCTGTCTGTCTGCCTGTCTGTCTGCTGTGCGTCTCCAAAAGGGGGTTTATTGGTAATCAGCAAACATCCCGAACAAACGGGATCGGTTATTTGTCCAGCGTGAATCGCATACGGCGAGATTTTCTGATCAAAAAGTGATCGCAAGCTTTTTCGGGTGTTTTTCAATGGACACCCGAAATGTGTGGCCTTATCTGGACGTTAGTCGCGGACATCGGACAAAACCCGATGATTTGCATTTCTAATCCACAAACGGGGCGAAAAACAAAACAACTGCAATAGCAAGTCTAGAACACAGACGATGTACCGTGCTGGTGGTCTGTTGTTCAGAGAGACGGCAAATGGGATTATGCTCGTGATTGGCTCTATGAATGTGGAGTATTATGCATTACATTAGGCATGCCATGCTTCTCAAACCAGCAGTTGAGTTTCTCCCTCCCTCATTCCATCTGTCGATAATCA